CAGACCAAGCTGGAGGGAACTCGCAAGTTTACCCAGTCTCTCTCTCACTCAAGAGGCACATATTCCTAGATGTTTATGCCCAATTTACTAAAATCACATGTTTACTGTACTTTTTTTCTTTTCAGAACTGTATAGCAAATACCACAAAGTGAAAGTGTGAGGTAGTTTAGTAAACTTCATTAGTGAAGCACAAGAGGCACATTCTGGCAGTCAAGAGATTCTACTAAATAGAAGCTATGTAAAACAAAACAAATGCCCCAGGTTTACCCTTATTTTTGGATTTGATGTTTAGTCATATTTATAAACAGGGCAGATATGATTTGATTTGCAAACAGGGCAGACAGATGAAAGATGTTGAACACTCCTTAAAAACATGTACATGGTAGAGCCATTTCAAATAAGCTCCCAATCCATGCAAAAATGTAGGTGTCAACCATTTCTGTGGAATTTTCTCAAGTAATTAAGTTTGTAGTTGGAAGAGTATGCTGGCCAATATACCAGAGAATAGTGTAAGCAGCCTTGCAGTGAAGTTGTTGAATATTTAATGTTCCCTCATCTTCCATTTCTCCTCTTTCATCCAAACTGATGAAGATGCGTTGAGAAAGCTCTATTTGAATAACACTGTCTTGGAGGCTTTATGGGACAACCTTGCCTGGTAGGACCTTTGGAGGTCAATTGTGTTCAAACTGTTGAGAGGAGCTATAAGCGATAAACTTTAGCAGCAGTATATAAACACCATGGCCTTCTGCAGTGTCTCGGAGATCCTGCTGGGAATGTTCAACTTATTTTCATGCAAACAGATGATAAAATAACATTTTGAGATTCCAGCATCATAATAAAATTTCCTAGTTAAAAACACTACAAAAATTGATCAGAATTAAAGTTACCAAGAAACAATATGCATGATTTTTGAGAAATTTCATGGCAATTGGAAAGTGATTACGAATGTCTCGACTTCAGTAAAATAAGGGGAAACTGTATCTAGAAGCTTACTAGCTTTTACAGTAGAAGTTTTTACGATAAAAAAAAAGTCCTGATCTTCAATTTTAACATTTGAAAGTGATTTTTAATCTTTTTTTAATCAGTTATGGTTTTAGGCAAGTCATGACATTTTCAAATTTAACCACTTTAAAATTGTTAGAAAAAAAGTATAGTTATACTATTTTTGTATGTTTGCATATGCAATTGATATTCAGGGAAAAATATAACATCTAGAATACTTTTTGAATGTATGTTTAATTTTCACTTATCTCCTGCACTTTAGATCAATCATTGCCTTCATCTTGGGCTGGTTAACACAATTCATCTCTATAAAACACCATCATGATGAATTATCTTTATTACCTTTTTAAGATATTAGCAACCCAGAATAGGAGGACATTCCTCAGTAAAGAGATAGAGGAAAGACAAACAGTTTGTCATGTCTAGGAAAATAATAATTCTGATTTTATTCATCAATATTTTAGTGGGTTTCCAGTGTTTATCATTCATTGTTGCTTATTTCTCTACATTGGCTAACTTGTTCCTATTTTAAGGACTCATGGGTTCCCTTTTGGGAAAAAAAAATACTAGTTGTGTATTCATTTAGCTAAATAGTTGGATTTGAAGTTCTATTAAGGGAGAATTTAGACAACTCTAAAATGTATTAAGCATATTATAAGCTTGTATAAGCTATTACATTACAGATCAGATTTCTGTGTGTAGTAACAGAGCTCTGAATACAAAATCATAACTATGCACCTTTATACATGTGGTACTATAGATTCTCTTAATAAAGAAAATACAGAAACCAGTAACAAAAATTGTGTTTTTTTCTTAACTCATATTAGGTAGTAATTGATTTATTATGCTCATTATTCAAGAAAATACTTTTTTCTTCATACTTTTCTGTTACTTTACTAATGTAACTTCATTATTTGGTGGGGTATCATTATTACTGTTAGAGGTAAGGTTATATTTTCAAAGACATTAGATGATATGTGCTGAGATAAATGTTTGTATTTGTTAACACAATGGATAAAAAAAGATAGCTCTTCTAGGTGCTCTTTAAAAACAAACTGAGCTTTTAAAATGATAGCAAAAACATCAAATAAACAATAAAATAGTATTTTTGGTTAGTTACTCACTGCTATTGTAGAATAGATAATGAAAGTATATACATTTTTAAAATTACTTGCAAAAATTACATGCAAATTCTCCCTTTAGAACTCTTAACATTTCCCTCACAGAAGACAGTTGTTGAAAATACATATGTGCATAGAAGAGTTTTAGAATAATAAGTACACTTTATTTATTCACAGTTAGAGGTAAAATGCTTGCACATTCAAAGACTTATAACTATTTTTTTAAAAAAAAAATCACCTTGCGGTGAAATCTGGCATAGCAAATCTCAGTTTGGGAGTTATAGCCTTTTCAAAATATGAACAATTACTTCTCATTTTTTTCTTTAAGCAGTATTGTATAATGTGAAAGTGGGAAACATATCTATGCCAATCATCATATCTTTTTGTTTCAATTACCATTATCAACATAGCTAGAAACTATGGTATCTATGCTAAAACCACTGGAAAATTTTAAGAGAAAATACTGTAGTAGATTCAGAATATTTATCATTTCTTAAACAAGTTTCTGGTTTCTGGGTAGGATGTGTCTCTAATGATTTTAGCCATGTAAAAGATAGGCAAACAATTTAGTCAGTGGAGAAGGCGCCATGTCTTCAGCGCATAACTCTTTCATACAGAGCACAACCTTTTTATTACTGAATATGAGATTCCTAATGTATCCATTTTAAAATACTACAATTTTTATGCCTATATATATATATATATATACACATATATATTTTCTTCCTTTCACATTAGGTTTAAGCTGTTTATATTCCAGCGAAGTGCCTTAAAGCGGGACTGGGCGCTTTGGATAACAAGTAGGTATTTTCCAGAAGGGAACGGTATGCGGAGCACCCAGCACACTGTTCCTGGGGATGCCATGGCTCAGGCTACCAGCAACACAGTAACTCCGCTGCACGGATGGGGCAGAGCCAGTGCAACAGAGATGTGGGGACTCTGCCCATACTGTCCAAAATTATTTTAAAAGCAGAATTTATTCCTTTTTTCTTCTTGTCCATTTTATGCTTTCTGATATAACTATCCTTGGGGAAATTATCCTTATTATAGGCTAAGTTTAGCTTATGTGATATAGTGTATCAGGAAATGAGGCTTACTGTTTTATATCCCAATTCAGTTAGAAATGCTTTATAGATTCTTTTGTCTCCATTTAAATCTTATAAATGTTAATGCTTAATTTTATAAATTTACATTTTAAGAAAATTATTACTGCAACAATAACTTTTCAAAATTAGGCAACTGAGTTTGATTCCTGTGATGTGACCTGAGTGAATATACTGCAAGCTGAA